CCTTACTTACCTTACTTACTTACTTACTTACTTACTTACTTACTACTTACTTACTTACGTACTTACTTACTTAATTACTTACTTACTTACTTACTTACTTACTACTTACTTACGCCTGTTACTCCTCGTAAAGGAGCATAGGCCGTCACCAGCATTCTCCATCCAACCCTGTCCTGGGCAATCCTTTCTAGCTCCGTCCATTGTAATTCATCGTTTTCATATCTGCTTCTATTATCCGACGCAATGTGTTCTTTGGCCTTCCTCTTTTTCACTTCCCTTCAGGATTCCAAGTTAGGGCTTGCCTCGTGATGCAGTTTGACGATTTGCGTAATGTATGTCCTATCCATTTCCATCGTCTTTTCCTAATTTCTTCTTCAGCTGGAAGTTGGTTTGTTCTCTCCCACAGAAGGCTATTGCTGATGGTATCCGGCCAATGGATGTTGAGTATCTTGCGTAGACAGTTATTTATAAATACTTGTACTTTCCGCCTGTAGCTCTTATAGGGTTGCTGCCGGTCCCAAGCCCGGGTAAAGGAGGAGGGTTGGGCATGTGGTTAGCGTCCCCATCCCGTAGAAAACTAACTCGCTAAAAAAACTCTTACCAGAAAAAATAACCCAAACCATTTCAATTTATCAGTATCAGGTTATTCTTATTATCTTATTATTAACCTCCCGCTTGTTTTTGTATCAAACCAACGTTATTATGATTCTGGTGAGAGAATATTGTAGTCGTACTAGTTCTTAATCATACGATCCTTGAAATCATATCTCCCTTGCATATGGTCCCTAAAACGGATGTCAGTGACTGACGTTCGGCCGATAATTATTGACGAATCAATGTGAGAACCACATCCCACCATTATTTGTTGCCACATAACCAACCCCTGACAGAGACCTTGAAAATTACGGCTGTACTTTTGAAAATAATTTCGGATGGCAACACGAAGAAAGCGATGTCCACACCTGTGGAACTGTACACAAAATCAACTGTGCTCGCACACCTCGGCATCAAAGAACCTACTGTTATCACCTCAGATACATCCTACTCGGCAATCGGAGGAGTCTTGAAACAGAGGATGGATGAAACTTGGCAACCCCTGGACGACTCCAAGACACTGAGTCAAGGTATGGCACTTTTGTCGAGGAACATTTAGCCCTGCATTGTGCTGTACAGCACTTTCAGCACTATGGAAGGTCGAAAATTCACTCTATTCATCGACCATTAACCTCTTGTCATCCCTCAAAGCTCATCTTCAGACGAGTACTCTGCTCGAGAGTTTTGACAACTGGACCTCGTTTCGCAGTTTACTACAGACATACAACACTTTTCTGATGTAAGCAATATAGTTGTCGACGCCTTGTCTAGTACAAATTCATTGAACGATTTTCAAGGAATCGGCCTCTTTAAGCTCCCCTTGCCTTTAAAAGAAGACACCGATCTTCATCACGAGTCATTTTTGACAACTTTGAAACAGCGAATCGAACAGATGAGGATGGGTAAGAAGACGATATGTCATGACACATCTACAGGTACGGATCTTCTAAACATACGGAAACATAAACGGAAGCATAAACTTTCCCATCCAGAAGTTCGAGCAACCATCAAGCTGGTCTGGTATAAATAAAGAATTGAGAGAGTGGGACTTTGGCGTTTGAATGAACTGATGATTCCTTTGTACTTGTTGAATGCTTGATTTCGAATTCCAAATACAGTACATTCATTAGTGCTTATCTAGTACTTCTTGATCCGATCACTTTTTTCCTGGGATTCTTAGTTCGTACTATAATTCTAATACTCCTAATCATCATAGGGACGTTCCTGAGTGCGTTGTCAGAAATCTAAAGTGGTCAGACAAATTAATGCCCTTAAGGCTCTTTCTCAAACATGTTTTCCCTAATTTCGTAGGATCCCTTCCAGATTTAAATACATGCCCTCGTCTCTTCACGTTTGTGGACCATTTCACACGATGTCCTGCGTCAGTATCTATCAATTATATTACTACCGAAACCTTAACCAGCGCCTTCATCAAGCACCCGTGACATCGTTAAGTGCAGGAACATACCTTTACATAATTGGATAAAATTTATTGCTATTCCATGTGAACGACTACTAACCTTGGGTAGGTACGTGGGTGTCAGACCATATTTGTAGACACCAACTGATGGAGCTGTATTCACGATGGCTGGAATAGCGTTTTAGGTAGAATCAAAAGCATCAGGAGAAGGAGATATATTACCGGGATGCTTGCCACTCTTTGCGTCCTCAGTTGTGGATTACCCCGTGGGACGTGATACCGGGTTTCAGTTAGAATCTTCTTCTGGGTATCGGAAGCGATTAGTCTGGTGTACAGTACTATCAGCTTGTCTTTTACTTTTCAGAATTCTAACGACATTAGTTCCACTTGGTCGTATGCATAGGATGGAAGTGTTAGAAACAGTTCTGAAGTGATAGATCCAAGATGTTTACGCATAAAGCGGAGTTGTACGTGCTTTTGACAAAGTCTTAGCAAAGTCTTTGCTGATGTCTAGGTGTGTGGGAATTAATAGGCGTGAAATCTGGACAGGTCAATTTTTAAACTAGCCCTTGTAACACTAGCCATAAGCAAACTAACTGTTGAAACCGAAATAAATAAACAACTACACAGGATGAGATTTACTGGTGACAATTCTATGCCAAAACTATTAGCATAAGCTAACAATTTTTTTTTCGAAAAACAAATCCCCTTAGACTTCCATAAAACAGTGAAGGCAACAAACCTTACGTTTTCTCATTGACATGCTCGCACTATCCTTTGTTTTGAACACCATGCTTGTATGCGACGTTCAACAGAGGAAAATACGATCGGATCAACCAGAAATGGATAAATATGCGTCAGAAATCGAAACATCAGCTCAAATAAACAAAAATCAGTAATTATGAAGCTTCAAATCTGTTAAGAATATTTCCACTCAGGAATGTCTAAACAAGTTACTTACACATGTGAAGACTGTATCTGCACACTGCTTTGGGACTATGATTTTGATATTGTTGCCGCCTGGTAACATATGTAGTTGGAAGGACTTTAATTTTCTTAATGCCACGCAAACAGTTGAGAGAATATTTCGCAAGCCTTCAGATGATACTGAGTTGATAGCCAGATTCTCTTGTGCAGGTGCTTGTTGGATTATGCGGCAAAGTGAACAATAAAGACTGTAGGATCCAAACTACGGTTTGGATGTTGAAGAATAGCCTACCGGGGATTTTAGACACGCGCCCTTTCCCGTCGAAATCAGAACAAGTAATCGGGTAACTAGCGGTTCTAAACAAATATTATCACCCGGCTATTCAACCAATGATTGTTCAATCAATTAAATCAATCACAACAAATCAACGTTATTCTATCCTGGATGGATAGATCACACACAACAGGAGGAACAAATCAATATGGCTACCGCCAAGAACAAGTGTCAAGTAAAACAACGCAGATGCAGTTCAGGAAGAAACACAAACTTAGTGAATGCGTAATAAAAACAAAAACTATAACAAAAATACAAATATTAACAATTCAAATGTAATCAAAATACAACAATGTACAACTAATGTGATCAATAGGAATAAAGTACAAGTATATACATGGAGGGATTTTCACCAACACATAAAACCTTCCAAATGGATCTTACACCGGCCCCCAAAATCCCTCCATACCACACAAGCTACCTTGACGCCTACGGTCATGGTTCATTATATAACGTATCACACCATAGGAACGAGTAGGACTTACAACAGTACGCCTATTCGATCTGACTACATTAATAACAACAAAGACTAATCCAAAGCTTCAAGGAGACCTGCTTCACCTGTTCTCTGGTGATCAACAATAACAGTCGTGATATCGACCTAATCACTCTTCCCCAAACTCCACCCATGCTGTTGGATGAGGGCCTCGCTGACAATTCAATGTTTATCTTCTGATTCGACTGCTGCACAAACTTGCTTAACTCAGAAACTGTCACCACGAAGCTTGACGCACTGTCACTGTAAATCTCCGGAGGTTTCCTTCTTCCAATAAAACGTAATAGAGCCATTAAAAATGAATCAGCAATCAAATTACACATCATTTCAATATGTACTGCCCATGTTTGCAAACAAGTAAACACATATCCATACCCTTTTCCTAATGATCTTCCTATGTGTCCTTGTTCTTTATGACAATGTCTAATTATCATTTCCGTCACTAAGTGTCGACTAGGTAAAATTACTGGATGTTTAAAAGCATTTGGGAAATCTGAGTATCTTAGT